TGAGGTCCAAACGTGTTTTATGCCTTTCATACACCTCAGAATTCATTCACACACCTTTTGCCTTATTTTATTTTAATTATTTTTTATTTAATTAATTAATAATACAAAATAATAAGATAAAAATTATATCTTACTACAAGGTCCAAGCCCATTTGTTTTTGCCCTAAAAATTCTCTATATATTCAGACATCAAAACTAGAACAAAGGAAACGAAATCCTTGCACCACAAAATTGTCAAAAAACACCAAAATTTTCCAAGAACCCTAATTTCTAAAACCTTATTCTCCAACGAGTTTCAATCAGTGTTGAGCCTTCCATTAGCCTATTCAGACTTCCAAGAAGCCATTCCAATCGTCTTGAAGCCTGAGGCATACCAAAAAGCATTCCTCAAGAGCACCGGTTGGGTAGTATTTCAAAACCTTGAATTTTTACTTGTTGCACTTATTTACTAATTCTGTGTGTTCATGTGTGTTTATAATGGTGTTTAGTACATATTACAACCATTACATGGGATCCATGACGTCCAGATCATGAATTACCATTAAGGGACCGAATTATAATTTTCCCTTCGAAGCGCATGATCTAAGCATTTTCAGTCAAAATGGAGCCTATATTTGGATTTAGGACCCTCGATTTAGGGGGTAGGGTCTTCTTTAATCATTAACGTGCCTTATTTTGCAGAATATGGAAATATGCTCACCAGAGAAGATGACCGGAGCTAGGGCTCCGACGCTTCTCCGGTCCCTCTGAGTTTTTTTATATTATATTTTTTTGGATTAATTATATGCACAAAGGAAACAACCATCCCAGTAGCAAGAGCGCGCACGATAAGGCATCGACACTGAAGGGCCTGGGTTCGATCCAACCTTTTGGTATTCTTTTGTTTAATTTTTCCAAACTGACATGCAAGTTTAATATATCTTGTTTTGTTCCTGTTTCTAAACACAAACGAGCGTTTGACTCAGTTGGTAGGCATGCACGCTAGATATGCAGGGGGCGTGGGTTTAACACCCACCCCCAACATTCTTTTTCTCTATTTTCTTTACTAACTTTATTTTCTTTTTTTTTTCTAAATTTTTTTAATAAACCCTAATTATTTTTAATCAATATTAAAATAAATTAGGTTTAGTTTTTCTTTCTCATAAGTTAATTTTGAATTTTATTTATTAAAATTAATTAGGATAATTAATCTCGATTAATTTATTTATCTAACTTTTTTGATTAAATTAAAATTAACATAGACTTTAGGGTTTGTTAATTTAATCACTCGACCAATTTTAATCAATTAAAATCAATTAGGTTTAGGTTAAATCATCAATTATTTTTCATCAAACAATTTCTCCATTTCTTTTCCTTTTTTACCGCTTCGTGCGCTTTATTATTTGTGCATTAGTTTTTCCTATTACGTAATTGCTACGAAACAACCATCCCAGTAGCAAGAGCGCGCGCGATAAGGCATCGATACTGAAGGGCCTGGGTTCGATCCAGCCTTTTGGTATTCTTTTGTTTAATTTTTCCAAACTGACATGCAGGTTTAATATATCTTGTTTTGTTCCTGTTTCTAAACACAAACGAGCGTTTGACTCAGTTGGTAGGCATGCACGCTAGAGATGCAGGGGGCGTGGGTTTAACACCCACCCCAACATTCTTTTTCTCTATTTTCTTTACTAACTTTATTTTCTTTTTTTTCTTCTAAATTTTTTTAATAAACCCTAATTATTTTTAATCAATATTAAAATAAATTAGGTTTAGTTTTTCTTTCTCATAAGTTAATTTTGAATTTTATTTATTAAAATTAATTAGGATAATTAATCTCGATTAATTTATTTATATAACTTTTTTGATTAAATTAAAATTAACCTAGACTTTAGGGTCTGTTAATTTAATCACTCAACCAATTTTAATCAATTAAAATCAATTAGGTTTAGGTTAAATCATCAATTATTTTTCATCAAACATTTTCTCCATTTCTTTTCCTTTTTTACCGCTTCGTGCGCTTTATTATTTGTGCATTAGTTTTTCCTATTATGTAATTGCTACGAAATGTAATAGCTTAAATTAGGGTTTTTGCTTTCTTTCTTTCCTATTTTTTTGTGGTTTTGTACCCCTTCCCTGAAGCTTTGTAATAGCGTAGAACTTTTAATTTTTGTCTTTACTGCTTTCCTTATAACTGTTAGTAATTAGGACATGTATGACAAGATCTAAAATCAACCGCTAGATAACCCTAATTAGGATTAAATAACTGAATTGAACCACTATTCACACTTGCACCTCTAGGATAACCTCACTCGTTGCCTCGGAAAACAGTCATGTCCCTCGAACGTGGGGACGCTTTAGCACTGTCCCTCGATACAAAAGATCGTAGTCCCTCGATGAACCTTCGATGCTGCCTTCGGTAAACGATCTTAGTCCCTTACGATAAATTGCTAAAGCACCTTACAAGTTGCCTTTATGATTGTACGATAACCCGCGCCTGTCCCTTCACATCCAACGATAGGACTTCCTATTAACTAATGGTAGGATAACACTATCTAAGGAGGAGGAAAATAACACGAAAGACTTTTGAGTAAGGGTAGAATACTGTTAATCGCTTGCTCACAAAAAACATCTTTTTCACACAAAACACTTTTCTCTGAAATATTTGCGAAAACAAACACTTTGTACGCATTCTCAACTGATACCAGAATCATTACAAAGTTGCCGAACTTAGGCATTTTCAAAATATTTTCAAACACATACACAAAAGCATTTCAAACAAAGTGAGCTAGCGATTAAGAGTTCGTAGATTAACTGCGGATAAAAAGGGTGCTAATACCTTCCCTTTTCATAATCTACCCCCTGAACTCAGAAATTCTCAAAGATTTTTCCTATTCTTTTCACCCTTTCCTTATTGGATAAAAGAAAAGTCGGTGGCGACTCTTGCTATCTGCAACATTTGCGATAAAACACAAAAACAAGTCAATTCTCTCACTGTATTACATAAAGTTATAATTATTATAATATAATTTTATCTACAATTTCTTTGGAGACCATATTTGAGTCAAGAACATCAACCCAAACCCGAGGATGCAACAATTTAGACTACAAAAACTACAATCATATGAAGATGCACCACAACGACTGTATAAAAATGCAGTTTAGCATGCATCAAGATATATAGTCTGCTCTGACTTGTTTGACACCTTGGCATCTCCTTAGGATCGACGCCCAGTGGGGTGTTAATAATTGGAAAGCATCCATACTGGAATGGTGTAAGATGTGGAAGAGGCGTCACCGACATGTCTTGGATTTCCCTGTTTACCCCACAAACCATGTTATGCGACACACAAATCAACATATCAATTAGTACATATCAGTTACTAACCCTGAAATGTTGTGACTGACTCGAGGTACTTAATCGACCCATGTACACGATGGGCATCATCCTCAAATCCCCAACAACACTACCAATAAACATACATCACCTAGCAATAACCCCAACAACAAACCTAATACACATCAACCTCCCACCAAACACAACAACGATACAGATCCACCAGCATCCAACTCCAAACCCAAAACCAATACTAATACACACACACGCCCCCACACAATCACAATACCAAGAACAAAGACTATACATCCGACATCCCGATGTGGGCCCCTCATCATCTCACCTTAGCCCAAACATAAGCTTACCTGAAGAATATTCCCCAACCGACTCAACAACCATCAACCATCTCATCACCATAACACCCAACAAACATATGACTACCAAACTTCACAAGTTTCATTTCCTTTTTACCCCCTTTATTCAAACGACCAATGCTATCGACCATCCATGGAACCGCATCCCCACCAATATGACCAAACTTTGAGGGCATGGGTAATCGATTATTTGAAAGCGAATCTTTCAGATATGGTGATCTGACGGACTTCATGGATCATGAACACATTGACTTCGCAGGGCCCTCGACTCAACCACAATAGGAAAATCATCGAAGCGCACCACGAGTTAGGTGGGGACGCGGGTGCAGAATCACTGATCGTTATCGAGTTACAGGAGACAACTAAATAATATGTAACTTTTATTCCCATTATGTAATCGTTATTTTAAAAAAAATTGCACCTAGGCGCAATCTCAGATGACTTAAGGAAAATCACATGCACCTAGACGCCATCTTTAAAAAATTTAATGCATGCGCCATTTAAAATGACTGAAACATATATACAATTTCTGAAATATGATTATTTGCGTAATATTCTCCGAAACGTGGTTATTTGTGTATTTTTTTTCAATATCTTGTTGTTTGAAAAAAATGTTATTTCTCTTAATAAAAGTGTCATCTAAATTAAATTAAATTTTTAAAAAAATTAAAAAATATTTTTTTATATTTTTTATCAAAAACTTATTCATAATTTTAAATAAAAAATTGAAAAACAATTACATTTCACCATATAATTAAGAATTTAATTATTATATTCATTATTTAATTTCATATCATAAATTTACTTTAATACTTATTTTTCAATTATAAATTTAAATTATTTTTTATTAAGAATAATCACTTTAATAAATTATAAATAAATATTTTTACAAAATAAAATTAAAATAAAATCAAAGTAAAATTAAGTTTTCGATATTCATATTTGAAAAATATTTTGAGATATTCATAAGTTTTTTCCACGCATATAAAATTGTAATAAGAAATTCCAAAAAAAAAAAAACGAAATTTGAATCCCGGTGTCGAACTCCGGTCGTTCATTGGCACCGCCGTCGTCAATTTGTCATTCGCCAACTGTGTTCTACGCTCCAGGTTCGTTGTTTTTACATCAATTATCTCTTCAAATTTTGAACTTCTATCTTCAACTTTGCACTAGAGAATCATTCTCCACCGCAAGTACTTTCTAGGGTTAAAATCTCGTAGTGCTTATGCTTTTTTGTTTTCTAAAAAATAACCCTTGTTTTAGGATTTTAGGTTCCGGTTTTTTCCGAGCGTAAGAAATCTAAGAAGAATAGAATGGGTAGTAGTAGCAAGAGTAGGAAATCAAGAAGAAAAAGGAAATCGGATGATTCTGCATCGGAATCAACTTCTTCGCAATCCGATGATTCTGATAGAAGCCATAGAGGTGGTGATCGACGGTCACGGCGGCGGAGGCGAAGCCGACATGACTCGGGATCGGATAGTTCTTCTGATGGCAGTGGTAGTGATAAGGGTGGGAGGAAGAGGAAATCCTCCAGGAAAATTACTGAAGAGGAAATAGCACAGTACATGGCTAAAAAAGCGCAGAGAAAGGTTTGAAAATTTGCTTCTCTATCCATATTTGATGATGGTTTATGTAGAATTGATTTGGCTTTGAAGAGTTTGTTTCATGTTTCGGCTTGGTTTTGTGCTCAGGCATTGAAAGTTGCTAAAAAATTGAAGACTCGTACTGTGTCGGGTTATTCAAATGACTCGAATCCATTTGGTGACTCCAATCTTAATGAGAAGTAAGCTCTGCTCTATCTGTCTAGTCTTTACTTTTGGCATGAATATTAGTCATTGAAGTTTTTTGTGATTCGTTTGTTGCTACTATTTGTCATGTTAAAGTAGAAAGCTTTTAGATTTTTTGTTTTGAGGGTGGGGTAAGTGTTTAGCAGCAGTTCTTAGATAATTCGTTGTTCTGTTTTTTCCCTTCTGTTTTATTGGTTTAACTAAGAATGCAAGTTGGGTAACATTGTTATGTTCTAGAAGCGGTGGCTCGCTTATCTATCTAGAAATTAATGTATTAGTAGCTGAGTGGTGCTTACTTACATCTTCTTATTTACGAACATACTATTTTGTAGGTTTGTTTGGCGGAAGAAGATTGAGCGTGATGTTGTTCAAGGTGTGCCTATTGATGAATTTTCAGTTAAAGCTGAGAAAAAGAGACAGAGAGAAAGGATGGTAAGCAATTTTCTCCAAAAAAAAGTTTTTGTTTGTTAGGGACATTGCATATATAGAACGTAGACTACCTTACAATTTTATAAAATTTCTACTTGTATTATAGTATAAGATTTTGTTGTTATTACTATATATTCAGTTGCCAGTTTGCCACTACTAACTAGTTATTTTGTTGGTGTGTCCTGGGTTATTGATTTGACTTATGATGATGCGGTCAATCAAAACAATTAAACTTTCCATCTACCATTTAACATTCACTAATTTCATGTTAAAATTATAATGCAGGCGGAAATTGAAAAGGTGAAAAAAAGAAGAGAAGAAAGGGCACTTGAAAAAGCACGGCACGAAGAAGAAATGGTGAGTTCATTCTTAAAATGTTAATAGTTGTCATTTTGGTGTTAGAAGTAAAATTCTTTTTTGGGTACAACCTAGGGCTGGCATGAACCGAACCAACTCGAAATTAGTTCGAGATTCAATTTGGTAATTATTTCGTTGGACTTGGTTCATGAACCAAAATGAGTCGAACTTGAGCTCAAAATTAAGTTCGTAAAATAAATGAGTTGAACTTGAGCTATGTATAGTTCGATTCGTTTGGTTCATGAACTGACTCGATATATAAGTTTTATGAAGACATCAATACTTAGTTTTCATATTTATTTATATCATTTGAAAGATGATAAAATAATTTACAATTCTATTGATTAAAAAAAATCCAAATTCAACATAGTCAAATATATCTTACAAACTTAAGATATAACATTTGATTATTTACTCATATTACCTACTTTTGATGATAATATCTTGAATTACAAATATTATTTTGAGATGAAACTTATATTATATGAAAGCTAGAAATATTGTCTATAATTCTTGTGAATACAAGGATAAATAAGATTGTTTTAATTGTCATATTATTCATCAAAGTTAACTATTATTCATCAAAGTTAACTATTTAGATAAGTTTAAAAAAATATTAATTTAAAATGTCATATATATATATATATAACTCGAACTCGGCCAATTCTTAACGGGTCGAGTTTGAGCTGAAAAAAAAGTCCGTGATGAACTCGAACTCGGCTAACTCTTAACGAGTCGAACTGAGCTGAGGCGATTTCGACTCGACTCATTTCCTACCATCTGTCTTGGCTATATTCTTTAAAGTATTTATACCCATTATCTTTTTCACAGGCATTGTTAGCTAGAGAACGTGCTCGAGCTGAGTTCCAGGACTGGGAAAAAAGAGAAGAGGAGGTATGGTTGCTTGAATTGCTTCCATTTGTTGTTATTCGAAAATAAAATAGTATTACCAATCTGATGATTAAAACAATTTCATATGCAGTTTCATTTCGATCAAAGCAAGTTTAGGTCTGAGATTAGATTGCGTGAAGGACGTGCCAAGCCAATTGATATCCTTACCAAGCATCTTGATGGCTCTGATGATTTGGATATTGAAATAAATGAACCATACACAGTCTTCAAGGTTACTATTTGGCTTTATAATCACAATATCTTTATTTTCCTTTAACCGTTGTAAATTATAATGTAAAACACTTCTCAAAAACTTATTAAATCCTTTCCTTAGCGTGACTAAAAATTTCTAGCTTAAACTGTCAGTATAGTTGGATAAATTACATAATAATTTAACATTCATGATGCAGGGTTTGACAGTGAATGAAATGGAAGAGCTTCGTGAGGATATCAAAATGCATTTGGACCTTGACAGGGCCACACCAACCCATGTAGAATATTGGGAGGTATATTCCTTTGTCCATTTCCTGTTTAGTTACATCATAGTTCTCCGTAATTTTTTCTTTTTTGATAGGCTAACATGATAACACCAACACTTGTAGAATATTTGGAGCTATGACCTCTGAATTAACACCTTTTTCTGGTTGTTTTTGGGTCTCGGTTCCATAGTAAAGTTATAGAATCATCTAAAGATTAAGAGGAAATATCATGCAGTTGTTCTTATATATGCTTGTATACTCTTGGAATTCGGGGTTTAGACCTAGTCAACAGTACAAAATCGACGCGGGTGAATGCATTGATCTCAATACGTCCATGACCAGATGTCTTAAGCATGGACATATGTGGCTGGTATAACCGAGATCTTGGCCAAATAACAAATCTAAGATCTAGGATGGCCTCTAATACAGTCTTAGAATTTGAGCTTTAAGTCTAACTGAACCTCACAAAACGGTTCGTATGGCGAGGGTTACCCAAGCCTTATAAGCACTAATATCTAGTTGATGTGAATCTCTCAAATCTCTGAAGTGTGGACCAACGCAAGTGGAACAATAGGGATCTCAACATTAAAACCATGCCTAATAATTGATAGTTTTGAGTTCAAACTCTTTGGGAATAACACTGGAATAATATCTTTTAATCATGTAGTTTTAAATTCTAAAAGTGCATTAGCACAATATCTCCTATACATTTCTTAGTAGTGCCCATTTAATTGAAAACAAACAACTGTTTGCAATGATATGACCTCATAATAAGTATAGACTTTTTAAAATTGGTTTTTGAATGAAAATTTATTCTGTTTTTTAAAATTTGATGCGGTGGAGTGAAGATCAATGTACTGATATTGGAGGAATCAGAAGGATTTGTTCACGATTTTCATTGATATGGAAAAAACATATGATGGTTTTCTTTAAAAGGTTTTATGGAAGACCCTAAGAAGAAAACAGTTTGGATATCCCATGCTCGAACAACCTTATATATGTGTGAGGGGGTCACGATTAATGTGTGGAAAGTCCATATAGGGCCACTTAAGATTTTCCCATAAGTAAAGATTCGCACAAAGGTCTGTTTTGACTGTTTATCTTGGTTTAAGGTCTGCTTTGACCCGCTTTTGATTTTATCTTGGTTTTACATATCCGAGAGACAGTGCCATCATACATACTTTTTCCTTATGATTTAGTCATAGCTAAAAAGTCAAGAAAAGAAATATATGGAAAGATAGAGACGTGAAGACAGGTAATGGAAACATATAGTTTTCGCATGAGTAGAAATAAAACAAAGTATATGGAATACATGTTTAGTATAAGGCACACAAATCCTAGATTAGAGACGAAAATTGAATAACATATTATTACCGCAAATGTCATGATTTGGGTTCCTTAGGTTCATCATATATAATGACATGGATATATAGGTAGAAGTTAACTGTTAGGAGTCCCACATCGGACAATATATGTCCTTATAAGTGGGGGCAATCTTTACCCTATAAGTCGGTTTTGTAGGTTTGAGTTAGGCCCAACTACATTTATTAACATGGTATTAGAGCTTAGTTTAAGATTCGGTGGGCCACCTGCTATCAGGTTTCCGCTAACGGGTCACCCGCCATTTATTTCCACGCTCCAGTTGTCTAGTCCTGGACGTGAGGGGCGTGTTAAGAGTCCCACATCGGACAATATATGGCCTGAACATGTCCTTATAAGTGGGGAGCAATCCTCACCCTACAAGCCGGTTTTGTAGGATTGAGATAGGTCCCACCACATTTATTAACATTAACAATAGGTTCCAACTAGCAGGGTAAGTTAATTGGAGAATTGGTTTGGGCGTGATTTGTGATAGAGAATTGTTACTCAAGCTTATTTTTTCTTGTAAAGCATAAGACCACCAATGCCACATATTTAGGGTTGAATATTGGGTGATAAATAGCAAATAAGAAAGGAAAGTCAATGCTGTAGAGGTGAGAATATTAGAGTGGATGAATGATCATTTATGTATGTTTTGTCTTTCATGCAACTATGCATGTCTTCTTGGTATGTTTATGGAAGCATCATTATGCAGCTATTTATGTCTTATATAGGCACTAAAGCTCCAATGAATTAGTTGTTTTAATAGTCTCCTCTTCTGTTTCAGTTAGCATATTGGCCATTGTGTGTGGTTTCCTTAACATGTAATGCTATGCATCTTGGCACTTAATTAGTCATTTTATGTTTCATGTTCAAAGTTGATCAATATCATCATGCAGGCACTCCTACTGGTCAGTGATTGGGAGCTAGCTGAAGCTCGAAAAAAAGATGCACTTGATCGAGCTAGGGTGCGTGGAGAAGAACCTCCAGCTGAGGTGCTTGCAGAACAGAGAGGTCTGCATGGCAGTGTTGAACCAGATGTGAAGAAGCTTTTGCAGGGGAAGACACGTACAGAATTGGAGGCTTTGCAGGCGCATATTGAGTCAGAAATGCGTACTGGTGCAGCAAAGCTTGTTGAGTACTGGGAGACTGTTTTAAAGCACCTTCGGATATACAAGGCCAAGGTAATCTTCCTAACATTTTATTTTTGTATTTTTTATTACATGCCATAAATTAATATGGATTATTTTACCCAATTATTACTTTGCTACAATACAGGCTTGCTTAAAGGAAATTCATGCTAAAATGTTACGCAAGCATTTACATCACCTTGAGAAACCATCAGAGGATGAAGAAGATAAATTGGAAGATGCTCATGTAATGAAATCTGAGGAAGATATTGAGGACTATGTTGAATGTATAACTTGCTTGTTACTGTTTAACTATTTGTGAAATATTGACTCATTTATACACTTCCTCTGTTCAAAATTTCATACGATATTTTCCTGTTTTTTTATGCAGTTCAACCTTCAAATAGACCTCTTTCTCCAGAACCCATCAAAGGAGAGGAGGGTCAAGAAGTTGAAGACGAGGCTGGGTCCTTTTCACCCGAACTGTTTCATGGTGATGAAAATGAGGAAGCTATTGACCCTGAAGAGGACCGGGTTCTACTGGTAAATCTTATTTAGCATCTAATCTAATGATCTTGTGTCTCTAAGTTGAGTGTCTGTATCAAGCATATAGGCTAACTCAGTAACTCGTCCATGATGGTACATCCATAGGAACAAAAACGTATGGCAGTAAAGGAAGAGCAGCAGAGGCGAATTCAGGAAGCAATGGCATCAAAGCCTGCTCCATCTGAAGATAATTTTGAGATGAAAGCTATGAAAGTTATGGGAGCTATGGAAGAAGGAGATGTAATGTTTGGCTCCGGTGCTGAAGTGAATCTGGATTCACAGGTATCTTGTCTTGGTCATTTGTATAATTTTTACTGTTTGAAAAATGGCTTCAAATCTTGTCACTTTCCACAATTCTTAGAAACTTTAATGTTAATTATCATTGTGTTGGAAATATTTTGTTAGTTGGAAATTAGAATACAAAGTTCTGAAATTCTGGAGTTCAATTATAAAAGCGAGGGTGGTTGACAACTTACAATACGAGAGTTTTGTTCATCAGTTTCTTATGTAAAAGATAAATGTTGGCGCAGGTTTATTGGTGGCATGACAAATACAGGCCCAGGAAACCAAAGTATTTCAACCGTGTTCATACTGGATATGAGTGGAACAAATATAATCAAACTCACTACGATCATGACAATCCACCTCCAAAGGTTGTACAAGGGTATAAATTTAATATTTTCTACCCAGACCTTGTAGACAAGATAAAGGCTCCAACTTACACGATTGAGAAGGATGGCAGCAATGGCGAGACTTGCATCATAAGATTCCATGCAGGGCCACCATATGAAGACATTGTAAGTCTACTGTTCTTGATGGTCTGAAAGATTTTTCTTTTTACCAGCCAAATTAATTATTTCATGTGTCTTGGCAGGCTTTCCGCATTGTAAATAAAGAATGGGAATATTCTCACAAGAAAGGTTTTAAGTGCACGTTTGAACGTGGAATTCTACACGTATACTTCAATTTCAAACGCCACCGCTACCGCAGATAATTTCAGGCACTGGCTTACTTTCTGGTGAATTTCTCTTGCAAGCTTGAGGAATCTAAATGGCTACCTTTTTGAGTAAAACATACGGAAAGTGAAGTGTTTCTTTTAGATATTTGGAAAACCTGTGTTACTTGCAGCAATTTTTTTTATCAAAGTTGAAGGAATCAGTAATGGTGAACAGCCATTGTCGCGAACAATTATGAATCAATGGTCTGCTTGGAAACAATTGATGTATGGTGCAAGAACACAAAGCATGAAAACAACTTTTATTGTTTGTATTTATGTGGTCTCATTTCATGAACTTTTGTACTCCTAGCAAAGACAAGTCCTGTATTGAGATATTAAATATTGAATTGAAAACAATTAATCAATTTTTTTTAGCAATGTTTCAACCTTTTCAATGTTCCTTTTATGCCAGTCCAGAAACAGGTAAAATTCTATGTTCATTCACATCAAAGACTAAGAGCCATCTGGTAACATAGCGAGCACTTTGAATATTAAATCCAGCATTAGCCTTCTACAATCTTTACAGCAGTCCTGCAGAATCCAAAATCATTGGAATTAACTACAAGAGTGATGTAGTATGGGAATACATAATATTTTGAAACAATTACTTACCCAAATGGGCTTTGTTTAATGGCAAGCAATTCAACATCCACCTGCAGAAATTGAATAATTAAACCTTGAACAAAATTCAATTTATGCAGATGCACAAGCATATAGTAATGCGTCTTGTTATATGGAGCAAGAATGGCAACTCTAGTATCAAATTACAGGAGGTATTCATAACAAAGAGGTCAGAGTAATTCACCTCTATTATTGCATTTGGAGGAATTTCTTGAACTCCCTTGCTTCCATAGGCAAGTTCAGGAGGAACAATTAACAGCCTCTGCAGAAAACTAACTCAATGACTGGTTCCATTTATTGACTGTCATGATTTCAATGAAATTTGTAACAAAACATATCTGCTCTCTCTTTGAATCACTTCTTACCTGGCCTCCAACTCGCATGCCTTCTACTCCTAAATCCAAACCTTTTAGGACATTTCCTCGCTCAGATTCGCCTACATCAAATCCATAGGGCTGCAATAATTTAAGCATAATCTCATTAATCAGTCAACAAGCAATTTTTGCAACAAAAATATATCTTACAAGATTTAAACATTATGATCATAAAAAAAATAATTTTCTTCAAGTGTTATCATTATGTAACAACGACGAACATGCCTTGTTTATACATGGAAGAACCTGTTAACTTATAGAACAATCAACTAAACGATAAGTAGATTACGGTCGTACCGTTCCTCCTCCAACGCCCATTCCTTGTCTACTAGTCATAAATGTGATTCCCCTCCATTTAGCAACATAGTGAATCTACAAAATGATAATCTAATCATTTCTATGTTCCAATTTTTGTAAATGAAACTGAATCACAACCGTACTGCGACACGCGATCCTTTCACAGCTTCAGCTCCATTTCCAACCTTCAAATCATAGTACCTAAACATAAACATATCCGAGTTTTATCACACACTGCTCCCTAATCAAAAGAGTTGCAGATGTAATCAACATGCACTTACTTCAAACCATTTGGCAAGGTTTTGAAATCACTCTCAGGAATTTTAGCTCCTCTTAGCTGTAGAAAACCAAAAACAAGAAAGCATAATTCCTATAACTAGTCACATTTTCATAACCAAAATTTCACAATGTTTTGATGTCCCAAATAACAGTTATGTTTATAAATCATGATTTCTTTAATGATGGAGACACATACCGCTCTTCTACTAGTGCTAACAGCTTCCGCCACATCACATGCATAGACTCCAGCAACTGATCACAATCACATAAGATATAAACATTTAACAAACCTAACAACCTTGTCATATACATATATAAGGAAAATCATCAAATGCATAACTAACTACATGTTGTGAGGAAACAAGTGAGTAATGCTCTTCTTCCTTCAGTAACTGGTTCTACAGAAGCACTACTGGAAGAAGAATGTGAACAGCTACATGGGAATAACCTATTTGAATTTTTGTTGAACAGTTTTTTGTGTGTTTCTTTGGAGTTGAAAAGAGAGAAGTTACTTGTGAAGAGATTGGAGGCGAGGAAAGGATTGTGCTGATGGGTGAGAAGAGAGAGTTCCATGATCTTGGTTTGTTCTTTTGTTATTCTATGGTTTATTAATTAGATTTTTATGTTTATATTTTCTTTTTTTAGTTTGGTTTGAGAGGTAAAAGAGAAAGAAAATATAGAGAGAGGATAACGTAGTTAATTCTATCCACAATTATTATTCTTTGATATTGATATATATGTCACTATCAATATTATGATTTTAATAGGTTCTATCTATACTTTTATAATGATTGATTTTTTTATTTTATTTTAAAAATTTAATTAATTTTAATTTATTGCATATAAATGTTATATAAATGAATACGACAACTGATTATAAAATGAATAATTTTTACGATTTAATTTCTAATAGTTATGTTTTTAAAAGAAAATAACTAATGAAATTAAAAATTACAAAATAAAACAAATAGTTTTGGGAGATTATGCCTAAATTCAAGGAAAAAAGATAAAAGTAATTGCTCTGTTAAAAATCTTATAAGAAAAAATCACTATGATGGTCAAGGAAGGTTGATTCAGTTCACAAGGACCTGACTCACAACTCGATTCAATTTCCGTGTTCATGTGAGTTGTGACGATTTTCTTGATGGAAATAGTAGGATAAAACTTGATAAAAAAATGCAGTGCAGACAATGAAAAAAACTACTAAATTTAAAAGCGGGTGTTTTACATTTGTTTCTAAAGAATCTCTGTTAAGTATAATTTGATAAACTATTTCACTCATGGTTTTAAGTTGCGGTTGCAGGTGTTACAATTTCGTTTAGTTGTTGTGATACATATTGTGGTTGTTGCAGTGTAAATTTTAATAGAGAAGTGATTGAAATACAATGTTAAAAACACTTAATGTTAAGTTTTTTTCATTACATAAGAAGCAAATTGACATGTTCTCACATGTTCTGAAGTACAAATCCATTTGAATGTTGTCATGGTGACAAAGTTCAACCTAGAGCTAGAATATATGGATGTGAAGACTGCTTTCTTATAAGGTGATTTAGATGAAACAATTTCGATGTGGCAACCTGAAGGGTATGCAGAAAAGGGAAAGGAAGATTATGTGTCCAAGTTGAATAGATCTTTATATGGACTGAAGCAATCTCCTCGATAATGGAATAGGAGATTCAACAAGTTCACGGCACACATATGTTTCACTAGAAGCCAGTTCGACCAATGTGTTTACTTCAGATTTTGATCTGGGAATTCAATTGTTACTTTGTGGCTTTAAGTAGATGGTATTCTCATAGAAAGCAACAATGTCGAGGATGTAATGAAGGTGAAAGCTGAATTGAATAAGGAGTTCCACATGAAGGATCTGAGAGCTTCATCTAGGATTCTTGGGATTGAAATTCAGAGAGATAGAAAGTAGTCGAGATTATGCTTATCTCAAGAGACATATCTGAAGAAGATTCTCATAAATTTGGTATGTCTAATTCAAAGCATGTGATAACATCGACTAATCCTCAGTTCAAGCTGAGTACGACTCAAAGTCCTAGTACTCAAATCGAAAGAGCCTATATGAATAACATTCTATATGATAGTATAATAGGTTCTTTGATGTATGCTATTGTCTGTACAAGGTTAGATATAGCATATGAGTGAGCCTTGTAAGCAGGTATATGACCAATTTTGGAAAGACACACTGACAAGCATTGAAGTGGATTCTAAGGTACATAAATAGGTCTCTGAACAAAGTCCTGATTTATGGTGGAGCCTGTGGTGATGATATAAAAGCAGAAATCGAAGGATTTGTCGACTCTGATTATGCAGGTTGTATGGATTCCATAAAGTCTATTTTTTGGATGTTTTCACTATGTTTGGCATAATAATAAGTTAGAAAGATACACTTTAGAAGGTTGTCATCTTATCAACCACTGAAGTGGAATATATTGCCATTACTGAAGTTGTAAAAGAAGCATTGTTCCTTGAAGGTTTGACTCTTATTCTTTAATTTGTGAAGAAATAATAACTGTTCTACAACATCATTTTTGGAAGAAGAATGTGAATGTTGAGATATTAGACCTAATCCATATTGTGTAACCTAAGTCCAAGCTCAATTAGGGTTAGTTATCCTACTTAGTGTATAAGTTAGGTGTATATAAATAGTCATAGTTTGTATCATTATTTGTATAATTCAATTCATAATAAAATTCTTATTTTCTTTATTCTCTCTTTCTTTCCTCACTAAAAGTGCCTCACGCACTAATAAATCGGCATCTAGAGCTCCGGTTAGATTCTTGATCGTGTTTTCAAGAATCACACATCAGAGACCATATTTTTAGGATCGTGGTTTGTTGTTAATCAATCGTTGCAAATATGAATGGTAACAATAACATTTCAAATTCTCTTCCAACTCTTAACGACAAGAATTGGATTCGATGGAGAAAATATATGTAATGTCTGTTTGGCTTTCCTGAAACCCTAGAAGTGGTTACCAACGGTGTTCGTGCATTGGATGCAGATACAACTGACGCACATGCAACCGCCCATAACGAAGCCAAGAAGAAGGATTACAAGGTTGCGTATTGCATTCAAACAACAATCAATGTGACGAACTTTAACATGATCTCTCATGCTGAATGAGCGAAGGAGGCATGAGATATTCTTGTCAAATACTATGAAGAAGGTGAAAAAGTCAAGGTTGTCAAGTTACAGACCTTTCATCAATAATATGAATGACCATCAATGGGATAAGACGAAAAATATTGTAGAGTATGTGTCGAAGGTGCGAAAACTCGTCCATATCAAGAAGGGTTGTGGTGAAATTCTAACTGATAAGATGATAATTGAGAAGTTAATGCGTACGTTGACCTCTCACTTTGATCATGTTATCGCACCTATTCAAGAATCTAATCAACTTGAAACCCTAAAGCTGGAATATTTTGTTGGTTCGTTGAAAGCGCATGATTAGGATTGTCGAAAGGAAAGAAGTTCAAGACTTTATACAAGCTCTGCAGGCTCAGTCATGGAAAAAGAATGGTGGTTCCAACAAATTCAAAGGAAAATTCGATAAGACACAAGGCAATAATTCTTGGTCGAAACCTCATAAGAATAAGGTCGATGCTAGGGATTTGAATCATTGAAAAAGGAGAGGATGAAACTATCAAAAGGACAAAGATGATAAAAAAGGTGTGAAGTGCTACAATTATGAAAAGTGGGGTCACTTTGCCAAACATTGTTGGTACAAGAAAGACAAGGGATCAACAAGTAAAGATGAAGAACCTTGCACGCCAAGAATCAGATGATTATGAATGTATGGTGGTTATGGTTGCAGTTATAGATAACCATGTTGAATCCAAGATTTGGTTCCTTGACTTAGGATGCTCGAATCACGTGACTGTTCAAAATGTGTGGTTGGCAGATTTTGACGAGTCGAAGAAAAGAAAGGTCAAACCTATTGATAATAGTTCGTTGTAAGTAAAATGTACTAGCATCATAGTTTTTCAAATGAGTGATGGAAGGAAAGCTATGATTAAAGATGTAATCTATGTACCTGGAATAAAGTGCAACCTATTAATGTTGGACAACTGGTCGAAAAAGGTTTCTTAGTTGTCATGAAAGATGGAGCTTTAAAATTGTTCGATACCCAGAACAATTTGGTCTTAAAATCTCCATTGTCGAAGCATCATACGTTTAAGACCATGATCAATTCGAATGAAGTACAATGTCTAAAAACTGTTTTCGACCACAAGGATAGTTAGTTATGGAATTTGAGGTTTGGATATTTGAGCTTTCGATCACTAAATTAGCTAACTGGTATCCCAAGTCTTGAGATGTCCAACAAGCTCTGTGAAGTTTGTTTACTCGCAAAACAATTCATAAATTCTTTCGTTTCGACTATGCCAATGAGATCATCCTGCATACTCGAAGTGGTACATTCAGATGTATGTGGCCCATTCGAAGAACATACCATTAGTGGAAACAAATATTTTCTTTCGTTTGTCGACGAGTTTAGTCAAAATCTTTGGATCTATGTGATCAAGAGAAAAGGACAGAGTATTTGAAATCTTTAAGAGATTCAAGATACTTTTCGAAAACCAGAGTGAGAAGAATATCAAAGTTCTACGAACATATAGAAGTGGAGAATACACATCCAAGATGTTTGAAGATTCTTATGCAGAACACGGTGTCGATCATGAGGTAATTATTCTGTATACACATTAACATAATGGAGTTGTAGAAAAAAGAAATATGACCATATTGGATACGACGAGATGCATGCTGAAGCAGAAGAATTTTCTAAAATCCTTATGGGGTGAAGCTGTTTCGACTGCAGTTTATATTCTAAATAGACGCCTTGACAAGAAGTTGAAGAATAAGGTTTCTGAAGAAGTGTGGAGTGGAAAACGACCATCAGTGATGTTAGTTCCGTGGTTTTATAATTTGATAAATTTTGGTAAAAAATGGTTTTATATTAATGTTGTGCAAGATATTGTAATATCTTCGTCAACTGTCATAACAGTTTTACTGTTATGTGTTTCAGCAAGATATCAAAGACAACTGTCTTGACATCTTGATCTGTGTACAACAGGCGTTGCGGTTGTTTATCTCTTGACATATTTGTTTTAATTTGATGAGATTCTTTTGGATATACCTCATCATTATGCGATGTGAAGGAGATTATTTAGGAACAATGTGGAGATTTGATTTGTTTCATTATAAAGTATCTTGGAGACTTTTTAGGGAACTTTAAAAAGATTTGTTTGTATTTTTATGTGAAGATCTTACAACTGATTTAAAAAGTGAAGATTGGTTTTGATTTGACGAGTCCAAGCTGTGAGTGCAACTTTCCTTTAGATATGTTTTACATGATGTAAAAACGATAAGAACTTAGCAATTATGTATATTAGATGGTACTCTTGAGTTGTTATGGCACCCCTTGCATTAGAGGTCTTAGGAAGCATTCAAAACAAGTTTAAAATTGATCCAAATTATGAAAAATCATTTTCTGCACAAAACACACTTGCATTTGTTGGCTCATAACATTTTCAAGCCGACTCATAACATTTCAGGCCAGCTAA